TTTAACAATTATGTCTCTAAAAATGATGAAAATTTGAGGGTCTTAAAAATTAACTCCCTTGGTAACACTTCACAATAAGGTTTATTAGTTAATGCATTTACTAACATAAACTAATCATGAACAACACTTGTACAGCATTTATTAATCATAATTGAACATTTACTAATGCATTATTAACATTCAAGTACATGCTTGTTAACATTAGTTAATGCAACATGAGTTAACATGAACTAACAATGAACTACTGTATTTTCATTAACTAACTTTAACTAACATGAACAGATACAGTAGTAAATATATTGTTCATTGTTTGTTCAAGTTAGCAAATGCATTAATTAACATTAACTAATGAATCTTATTGTAAAGTGTGACCACTCCCTTCCTAAAAGCTATGCATTTTTAATTCATCATCAAACATACTGAATGCATTATGAAGTTTAAACAGTGCTTATAATCAGCCCAAACTGTTTTAATAATATTGCACATCATATATTTAATTGCATTACTTACAGTTCTGCTTCTGAGATTCTGCAGGCCGAGTTTGTCTGTCAACTCGCTGATGGGCATCGCATTTGGTAAATCTTGTTTGTTTGCAAAAATCAGCAGAACAGCGTCCCTCAGTTCATCTTCCTGAAGCTGTTGAACAGAATGTGTAGATTTAACCATTTAAAACTACTTGTCATAAATGTGACATTTAGGCCTGTCGCGATATCGACTTTTTGTTGTATGATATATTGCACCAAAATATATTACGATAAACGATATTCTTGTCATTTTAAGACCATTTTATGCCACTCATTATATAAGGCCAGAATTACTGTATATTATCATCACAATGCAAGGACACTTCCAAAGAACATATATTTTATTTAATTATAGTCATTTTAACCATTTAACAATGAGGCATTGGAGTCAGAATGTGAAAATGCATGTCCTAAACAAATAATAATTGTTAACAAAAAAGGTCGAGGTAAAAAGTAACAAAGGCTCCGATATCTGCTGCCAGATCTATTTTCAGTTGTGAGACACCCAGATGAAAATATACTATAGTCATTTATAGTAAATACTGTAGCAGTGTTTTATTAACCATACCGACTCTGACACCTCCAATAGAGATAGAGATGTTGCAAAATCCGCTAAAATGGTGCTAGAATTGGTTCTTGTGTATGGGTGATCTATATTGCATCACCAAAAATGATTGAGCTTATGTCTATGTGTTGTGCCATAAGTCCATATATTGATTTTTGTGACAGGCCTATTGACATTTGTCAACAAGTGCACAATTAATAAACAGTTCTGTACTGTTTTAACCCTTCTGTTGACTTGCGTATCAAAAATGGCATGGGCACCATTTTAATAGCAGTAAAAAACAAACTAGACAATGTATTTTTTATTGAATACTGCTGAGACTGAAGCTCTGCACAAGACTTTTGGCCAGCGGAGAAATTAAAATGGTCGTGCCGAACTGAGTCTGGTTCTCAAGGTTTTTCTTCACTCTCCTATTGGTGAAGTTTTTTTTTCCATCTCCGCTGTCGCCACTGGCTTGCATGGTTCAGGATCTGTAGAGCTACAAATCGATGAATTCGCTCTTCAGTGCTTGAACTTTCAGTAATGATTTCAAACCACACTGAACTGAGCTAAACTGAACTGAACTTAAACACTAAAAACTAAACTACCCTGTTCCAGTTACTATGACCATTTATGCGAAGCTGCTTTGACACAATCTACATTGTAAAAGCGCTATACAAATAAAGGGGAGTTGAATTGAATTGAATTTTTCGAAGATGACCCCAACATTCGAAAGAATTTAGCAAACATAATAAACATTTAACAAAGGCTAATCCTGTTGATATTAGCTGCAACACACAGCAAGCTACTGGAAAGAGGAAATATTGATCTTAGAGGGATCTTTTCATCTATTTAACAGTTTAGTTTTACTTCATGTGTCACCTAGCTTATTTTTATTATTTTGATTTGTTTTCTCTTTGTCAGAGAATATGTTTGTTTTTACTTAACGAATTTCATTTCATTTTGAGGGGAGAGTGGGAAAATAAGAAAACTAAAGACAGTCTACAATTGCTTTTATTCTGTATATACTACTATGTATGCTCTTGTTAAATACCAAGTAATTAAAAATAATAATAATAAAAATAATCATTTTCATACGGTTGTTCTTCAGGTCCAGGCTATAAAACCATTTATTACACCACAAGAACTACTAAATATCATCTTGCTAAAAACAAGCTGATATTTACATGCATGCAGGTACTTTCAGTATTAGAAAATACACCCTTTACTTGAGTCAAATTTGAGTGTTGTCCAGCTGATTAACCATTGATATATATAAAAAATAAATAAATAAAAATAAAATAAAAAAAACGCCACACTGATGAGAGAAAACCTGGACATTCACAGAGTTTGTGATGAAGATGAGGTTGATTTATCATGCAAAATGGATTTGAGGATTGAAAATAAATTTAGCTGCTCATTTTTTACCCAAAGAGTGAACAGTGTACAGGATTAAAGGACCACAGGAAGGTTAAATGCAAAATCTAAAGGTTGCTTTCTAATGAAGGGTTTGTGTTTGCTCACCATCTTCTGAAGCTCTTCTGCTGATTCCTGTGCTCGCTCACGATCATTACTGTCCACAACAAAGATCAGACCCTGAGGAAACAACTCAATTTAGTTAGAGGATATAAAGCTCAAGTTCTTTCATCAAGGCCTGTGTGAATAAATACAGTTGAAGTAAATAATTATTAGCATTGCAGTGATTTTTGTTTTCTTTTTCAAATATTTCCTAAATGATGTTTATCAGGGCAAGCAATTTTCACAGAATTTTTCACAGAATTTCCTATATTTTCTTTCTTCTGGAGAAAGTCTTATTTGTTTTATTTCGGCTAGAATTAAAGCAGTTTTACATTTAAAAAAAAAAAACATTTTAAGGTCAATATTATTAGTTCCCTTAAGCAATATTTGTTTTGGATAGTCTACAGAACAAACCATCGTTACAATGACTTGCCTAATTACCCTAACTTGCCTAGTTAACCCAGTCAAGCCTTTAAATGTCACTTTAAGCTGAATACTAGTATCTTGAAGAATATCTAGTCAAATATTATGTGTCAAACATTATTACTACAAATTGCCGGACTCCGTAAAAAAATACTCTAAACAAATTGCAAAGTATTGTTTTGTGTCTGCAATAATACGCAGTCTACATGTGTGGAGAAGACGAGTCCATCTCTATCCTTAATCCATTTACTTACTACTATGCGCAGAATGGATTGAGTGTTTTAATATTGTCACACAAAAGAAACTCAATTATTGTATCTACTGCTTGTACTGTGAAACATTATAGGCTCCTTATGATTATTTGGATGCTGTGTTGCTTTAATTAGTATTAGTCATTCCAAATAAAATTAATCAAGTGTGTGTGTTTGTGTGTGTGTGTGGTTATGTGGTGCCATATTGCATCTGTTTACCTGTGTGTTCTGGAAGTAATGTCTCCAAAGAGGCCTGATCTTATCCTGACCACCCACATCCCACACAGTGAAGGAAATGTTCTTGTATTCGACTGTCTCGACGTTAAATCCTAAAAGAAGCACACATTAACAATGCACAGTTGCGTTAAAACGAGAGGTTAAATGAGATAAATCAATGGCAAATCTCACACAACTTGTATATGTATCACCTGTAAATGCACTCATTATGGAAAGAAACCAACACCTTGGAAAGATCTTTACATCTGCTTGATTTAAAAGATGCATTTTAACTTCTTATGCATCAAAAATGCACTTCAAACTTGTTCTTCATTGAGGCATGTTGAATTATTCTTCCTTCATTTGCAAATTGCACTGTCAGTCGTTTTTCCTACCAACTTATTTATCTGTTTAATCTATCATTTTCTGTAAAGCTGCTTCTGGTCATTACATGCACACACTAAAGGGTTATAAGAGACGTGTTTAAAGGATTATGTGCAACACCCTCCATTTATTCTTTTTGGAAATGAGAAAGCTCCACTTAAGAATCATACTTAAAGGGAAAATGTGCTTCACACAATGTTAAAGTTGATCGGAGTATGCCTAATAAATATATCTGTTGCACTGAATGACACTGGAACATTTCAACAATACAAGCAGACACTTGGCTTGCATTACATAAGCTTTTATAATAGCAATGTATAATATATAACTTTTGTGTTTTTTTATTTGATGGAACCATCAAAAATGCACATTGTGTAATTTAAAATATACTTATCACAATTAATAATCACTTGGATATTGCAGTATTAAAGTTATAGTTAGTGTACAGTGTATACATGTAAATAAAAGGATGATATAGTAGATTTTAATGCCTTTTATATGTAGTCTTGTCTATTATTTTATATTACTTACCTATAGTTGGAATTGTTGTCACTATTTCTCCCAGTTTCAGTTTGTACAGGATTGTGGTTTTTCCAGCAGCATCCAGACCAACTTAAGAAGAAAACAAATCAGCCAAACACTTTGAAAACTTTAATTTCCATACATTAAAAAAAATATATATTGTTGTTTGCATTTTAAATTTTAATTATTCACCTTAAGTAAACTTCACTGACTCAAAATCATTAGGAATACTTCAATTAAGAGCATTTATTACTGACTTGTACTTAAATTATCGTTTTAACGAAAACTGTAACTCGTGTATATATTATATTTATTAAAGCTAATTGACAAAAGCAAGCACTTTCCAACTCACCCATGAGAATTCTCATCTGCTTCTTCCCGAACAATCGAGAAAATACGCTCGAAATAGTCAAACCCATGTTAAAAACCGCTCAAAGACTAGAAAAAGTGTCAAAGTTAAACTTATTCGAGGCGCAATAAAGTATAATGAGGAAGAGCCGCTAAGTTAGCGCTTTAGCATTCAGCGCTTCACAACTAAACCGCGGCCAAAAATCAACCTGCTCGAACTCCAAAAGAGAAAAACAGAATTCCAAAAGTCTTTCTTATATTTTTCTGTCCGTCTTTCCTTCTCTCTGTGATGCTGAAAGAGTGTTTCGTCCTGTAGTTTATTTTAGCGCGACTGTTTCTTCACCACGTCAGACTTCAGCGGCTCCAACGCGGTCGAAATGACGTCACCGGTGCCACATCATAACCGAGCCCGAATACTGCAAACACTGCAGAAAACATCGACTCAAATGAGTGATCCTTTTAGTCTAAAATATTGATGATTAAAACATAATCTCTATCATACATTTTAACCATGATTTACAGAAGACAACCTCAAACATTTAGTTTATTTTACAAAGGTTTACATATAGGAAATATTTAAATAAATACATAAATAAGGATGAATATAAGAGTATTATAAACATAAACATACACTTTATTAAAAAATATATATTTTTTTAACATTCAACGTACATGCCGCATAAATCATAGCTCGTTTGCTACACAAACCCTAGTATAATCGTGGTATTTGTGATAAACTGTGGTTATGCAAATGATAGTCAATATGGAAAAAACGTGGTAAGGACAATACAGCTTCAACTGAAATGTTTACATAAATATGCTTTTCTCATTTTTTTTGGTAACACTAAATAAAGTTGTATTAGTTCATGTTAGTTCATGTATTTACTAACATGAACCAATGATGAACAATACATTTATTACAATATGTATTCATCTCTGTTAACATTAGTTAATGAAAATAAAGTTGATAGTTATTTCACGTTAACTTACTAATGCTCACAACCAACACTTTGGAATGTAATAATGCATTAGTAAATGTTGAACAAATGTTGAATCATGATTAATAAATGCTGTGCAAGTACTGTTTATAATTAGTTAATGTTAGTGAATACATCAACTAACATAAAAACTTAAGGTGTGACCCTTTTAATGCCATATTTACTTTTCCATTACATGTAAAATGCTTTGTATGTATATAAAACCACATTATAAATAATAATAATAATAATAAGCCTTACTAATGTGAATAAAAACATAATTTATTGCAGATATTTTAAAGGCACAGACATATTCTAGATGTCATAACAGGTCAAAATATTGTAAAATATGTTAAACATAATTTTTGTTTCACCGTGGTAAATTAACAGTACATCAAATACAGTAGCAAAATACAAAATAAGACACAGTACAGCAGTGGAGAATCATTAATAAAAAAATTCAGCTACAATCCATTGTGTTTTTATATAAATTATATACAGATAAAATATGCATCTTATAGTAGTAAATTAACAAAATACACTAAAGAAATTATATATTTTTAAAAAAAATGTATTAATATTTTATTAAATCTTACTATCATTGAACAGTTGATTAGAAAGCCAGTCGAGTCCTTCATACAAACCAGATCCCTGAACTGCACATGCAGACTGAACAAACCACTGAGAGAGAGAGAGAGAGAGAGAGAGAGAGAGAGAGAGAGAGAGAGAGAGAGAGAGAGAGAGAGAGAGAGAGGGATGGATAAACGGACGGACGGATAGAGACAGATATGGACGGACGGACGGACAGACGGACAGACAGATGGACGGACGGATGGATGGACGGACAGACAGATGGACGGACGGATGGATGGACGGACGGACGGACGGACGGACGGACAGACAGAAAAATGTATTTAGTTATTCACCTCTATTCACCTCATTTATTAACTGATTGTATATGTGTAGAATCATGTGTATGTGTGTGTGTGTGTGTACATGCTTTTGTGACATATCAGGACACAAATCTGTATAATGTCATGGGTATGACAAAGGTATTACAAAAAAGAGGGGAAATATGAGGACATTGGTGACGTCCTCATTTCTCAAAATGCTTATAAATCCCACAGAATGAGTTTAATCAGAGAGTAAAGCTGCACACTGACTCTTGTGATGGTTGGGTTTAGGGCAATATAATATACGGTTTGGGCTGTATAAAATGAATAGAAGTCTACGTAAATGTACTCACTTTTCACAAAAACAAACATGTGTGTGTGTGTGTGTGTGTGTGTGTCAGGACACAAATCACATAATGACATGGGTATGAAACAGGTATTACAAGAAGATGGTGAATTATGAGGACATTGCTGATCCTCATTTCTCAAAAGGTCTATAAATCATACAGAATGAGTACTGTAGTAGGTAAAACTGCACAGCCTCCTGTGAGTGGTTTAGGGACAGGGTAGGGGTTAGAGTCATACAGTTTTACAGTATAAAAACCATGCAAACCTATGTGATGTCCCCACAATTCACATAAAAAGGTGTGTGTGAGTGCATGCTTGTGAGAGCATGTGTGTGTTCGAAGTCCCTTTCAAGAAATGTCAGTTCACTCGGCGGCCATAAGTCCTGTCGATCATTCCCACATCAACATGGGGAGAACATGCAAACTCCACACAGAAAACTGGCCCAGCCGGGACTCAAATCAGCGACCTTCTTGCTGCGAGGCGACAGAGCTAAAAACTGAGCCACCGTGCTGTACCATAAAAGCAACTTTACCATCATAATATGCCAGGGGTGTGAATGATTTCGGGCTTGACTGTATGGGGCTACATCAAGTGGAATAAATCTAAAGAAATGTCAGTCGAGGTCAAAAAAGGTGCAACGAATCAGAAGAAGAAACTAAAATGCTCTGCCAAAAGATTGACATCAGCAGGTGGATTTTTGGTAACAACTGAAACAGCGTCGCTCATCAAGTTCTTTGGAACAGCACACATAAACACACACTTCCTGTTTGAACAGGAAGTGCAGTTTAGCGTTTGGAGAGCTGCTCGGAAAGCCAGTCTAATCCCTCGTATAAACCCGTCCCTTGAGTCGCACAGGCCGCCTGGACGTACCACTGATTCAAAGACAAGACAATTACAATATTAATGCATGGAGTAAGTGTATATATAAGCAATTATATTGCAGGGAAAAAATATAATTATTAAAAATATATATATTAATAATAATAACAACAATTCTCTGTATAATAGAATAAATAAATATATAAAAACAACAAATTAAATAAAACTGATAACTGATGCAATTATTGCATTTACACTCACCGGTCACTTTATTAGGTACACCCTGTCCCACTGCTTTTTAATGCAAAAAACGCAAAGTATTTCAGAAACTGCTGATCTACTGAGATTTTCACGCACAACCAAATCTAGGGTTTACAGAGTATGGTCTGAAAAAGAGAAAATATCCAGTGAGCGGCAGTTCTGTGGGCGCAAATGCCTTGTTGCTGCCAGAGGTTAGAGGAGAATGGCCAGACTGGTTCCAGCTGATAGAAAAGCAACAGTAACTCAAATAAGCACTCGCTACAACCGAGCTCTGCAGAAGAGCATCTCTGAACACACAACACGTCCAACCCTGAGGCGGATGGGCTACAGCAGCAGAAGAGCACACCGGGTGCAGCTCCTGTCAGCTAAGAACAGGAAACTGAGGCTACAATTCACACAGGCTCACCAAAACTGGACAATAGAAGATTGGAGAAACGTTGCCTGCTCTGATGAGTCTCCATTTCTGCTGACACATTCAGATGGTCGGGTCAGAATTTGGTTTCAACAACATGAAAGCATGGATCCATCCTGCCTGTAATGGTGTGGGGGAGATTTTTTTGGCACACTTTGCGCTCATTAGTACCAATTGAACATCGTGTCAACGCCACAGCCTACCTGAGTATTGTTGCTGACCATGTCCATCCCTTTATGAGCACAGTGCACTCATCTTCTGATGGCTACTTCCAGCAGGATAATGCGCCATGTCATAAAGCGTGAATCATCTCAGACTGGTTTCTTGAACATGACAATGAGTTCACTTTGGATTAAGGCAGTTCTAAAGGCAAAAGGGGGTCCAACCCGGTACTAGTAATGTGTACCTAATAAAGTGTCCAGTGAGTGTATAATCAAATAAATGCATCTGTTGCAAGAATCAGTGCTAATTTTTATTAAAAGTTGGCAGTGTTTTATCTTTTAGATTGACCTTTTTCATTGTCAGTTATAATAAATTCTTAAATAAATAAAAATATTAAATTTTTTCAATTTTAAATATTTCAGATTTATTAAATCTTCCCATAATGCATGGATCAAATACTTCAACGTTTTGAAAGTTATTATCTACAAAAATTATAAATTACACAAAAATATGATGCAAAAGTGTCCAGAAGTGTGAGATATAGAATAAAAGTATAAATATATTTCCAAAAGTGTTGACACTAATATAAAATAAATAAACAAATAAATATAAAAAAATGAAATGTTTTTTCACGACCACATATGTAAGCAGGCCCAAATATATATATATTTAAAAATTATGTCTCTTAAAAAGCAAATAATGTACATTTGAGGGTCCTAAAAACTTTGCTTTTTTAATTTGTCGTCAAACATACTGAATGCATTATGAAGTTTAAACAGTGCTTATAATCAGCCCAAACTATTTTAATAATATTGCACATCATATATTTAATTGCATTACTTACAGTTCTGCTTCTGAGATTCTGCAGGCCGAGTTTGTCTGTCAACTCGCTGATGGGCATCGCATTTGGTAAATCTTGTTTGTTTGCAAAAATCAGCAGAACAGCGTCCCTCAGTTCATCTTCCTGAAGCTGTTGAACAGAAATAAAATAAATGTGACATTTGTCAATGTGCACAATTAAATAAACAATTCTGTACTCCTTTAACCCCTCTGTTGACTTACCAATTAAAAATGACACGGGCACCATTTTAACAGCAATAAATAAAACCCTAAACAATGTATTTTTTATTGAATTTTTCTAAAAATTAATCATTTACTTTTAGGATCTCTCTAATCTTTTTACAAGACTATATCAAAGGCTAATCCTGTTCTGTTGATATTAGCTCTCAAGTAAGCTACTTGAAAGAGAAAATATTGACTCCTTAGAGCACAGGTGTCAAACTCAGTTCCAAAAGGGCCGCAGCTCTGCACAATTTTAGTTCCAACCCTAATTAAACACACCTGATCAAACTTATTGAGTCCTTCAGGCTTGTTTGAAACCTACAGGTAAGTGTGTTG